GAAATATTTATTTTGAGTTGTGTTGCCTCGAATGTTTTACGAACTCCTGTTTTGTTATTGCAAAGTTCCTTTGGGGTCTTGGCCTTCCAGTAGATCAAGCAGAGTGCAATGATGTTTATGGCTTGGATGAAGAACTCTTGGAAATGGTTCCAAAGCCTGTACTGGCGGTTCTGTTTCTTTATCCCATAACAAAAAAGGTTTGTTTACAAAAAGAGCTCAGTTTTATAAGAAAAGAAAAGAAATTTTCCAGTGGCGTGTAATTGTAATCAAGATGATGATAGTTTCTTCTCCATTCGTTAAATGTTCTAATGTTTTCAGAGTGAAAAAGAGAGACTGCAACAACAAGAAGATGCAAAGAAGGTGAGTGAATGAAAAGTTCGGCATGTGTATTTTAGTCCTCATATTATTCATTCCACCACTAGACAGAACCTTTTAGACTACCTTTTCTCTCTCAATCCTTATAGATAAGGGTGTTCCCTGTTGTTTGTTTGTCGTTTTAAAGGTTTTGTGTCCGTCTAAATTTGTTTTTCATTTTCCATCTGCATATTGTGAAAAATATTTTTAAGAGTGCCGAGAGCCGGTTGAAAATAAGAAATGTTACTCTGTTATTCATATTCATAAAATGAGAATGTTAATCTGACTGCTTGTATATTTTAGCTTGCACATGCCATTGTTGGAGGGTGTGTTTGTTTGCATGTTATCTTTTATTATTATTATTTTTTTAAATATAAATTTTAAAGGTTTTATATTTGTAAGTGTTACTTAATAAGGTTCTTTCCTTTCTATTGTTACTATAGGATCATAGCAATCAAGTATACTTTATGAAACAAACTGTTGGCAATGCCTGTGGAACTATTGGACTTCTTCATGCCATAGGGAACATTACTTCAGAGATCAAGCTTTGTAAGTACCGAGTGATGCTAGCTAATTTAATGTGGTGATGTAGATCTCTTCATTGTAGTGAATATTAACACAGTTACCCAAATGGGATTAGGTAACGTTATGGTTGCTCTACTCCAGAGGCCTTTGTCTTGTATCTGGTCTCTTATATGAATTTATAGAATAGATAATTCATGATTTAGGAAGGAAGAAAGCTATCTATCATTGAAAATGAGCAAAGTACCAATCAAATATGAAAGAGAAACTAGGAGTTATTCAGCATGCTCATTCAGATGTCTGATTTGGTGACCTTGTCAGGGTTTAAGTATCCAACTTCAATTATGTGGCTGGTCACACTCATTATTCTATACTAATGTTGGTGAAGTTTAAGCAGTGTCTGTTCTAGCTTGCTTGTGCTGTTGATTCCACAGTGATTACTTCACTGTTGTTATCGTATCTTTTCAGTTCTGACACAATTTTTTCTCTTGTGCTGTCTTTCTGTTTTAAGCCGAGGGATCATTCTTGGATGGCTTCTTCAAGTCTACCAGAAGCATGGATCCAATGCAGGTTCTATTTACAAACACATGCTTCCCTCCCCACTCCCCTCCTCCCTCCCCACCCCACCATCACCAAAAATTCCCTATAGAGCAAAGGACAAACACAACTAGAAAG